AAAAATTGTAAAATCTTCCTAGTTAATAAATGTAGATTAAAAATATTTATTATCTATATAACGTCTTATTTCATTCCAAATGATGTATTTATATATTTAAACTGAACTATAGGATTGTAATAATCAATCCGTCCTCATTTTGAGGCACTCCCTTTTCAATTTTTTAGTAACAGTATTATACCCGTATATATTCCCTTTATTTACAACTTTTTTGTACTAACGAATTAATTTAAAAAGTCATAACTCTCGAAATTTTAGGAATTTGTCATTTTTATAAGTGTTGACTTCATAGTTTGTGTGTTGAATACCTTATGAATGCCATGCCTGAATTCCACTTTATGTGTACATAGTTACGACTTTGCAGAGTAAGTACAATGGTTCACCGTAAGCATTATGATTTTGCTTGTCTCACCACCGTGCATAATGAAGAAAGGCATTAAAAACTCATACAAACAGGGAAAGGTACTTGAACTCTTTTGTTGTGTGGAAAATCAGTTGCGCATGCGCAATTACTATGAATTTTTTTTAAATTATGAAAATAAGGAAAATATGGTGTGAAATGGATGCTTGAAGTTTAATGCCCTAAACGTAAGAAAAATAAATGAGTTCCCATTTGAAAAATTTTGTAATGCAAACATGTGACTTCGTCTATGTAATCAACCTGTTACTTGATTCGCATAATGCAAGTACTTTGCAGTCCGATCGTATTTTGAATAAGGAATAAAAACTTTTAAATAAAAAATTTTTAATTAAAAATAGGTCTAGTTTTAATAAGGTCATTTTTATTTTAGTTTTTATAGTTAAAAATTATTCATTCATTTCAAGGATATGTGCTACACTAAATCATTCCTGTCAAATGTAAATATTAATTGTAAAACCAGAGTGTTTTTGATGGGACATTTCATTGAAATATTAAAATCTATAAAATTTAATGCCTTTTATTATCACAACGGATCATTATTTAAGATCTAGTGGGCATCATTACAAGACTGCCACTCCAATCCAACCTTATCTCTGTTATTATATACAAAAGAAACAGAAATGTTAAAATCTATTAATTTAATATTAATAATTAAATAACAATTGTAATTCAGAGCAATATAGCCTGAATTTGTTTCCATGTACAATATGGAAAGAATGAAAAACAAATTCTAAAAAATAGACGTCAGTAATTATGAAACAAAAATAAAAATTCTGCAGGAATAAGAGGTTATCATGTGACACATTTTTTAAAACCTTTCAAGACTGTTCACGCAGAATAAACATAATGAAGTTACTTAAGTCGTTGTGGACGTCTGAGATATCTCTCTTTAAACTCCTGTTAATTTTGTTTAAATAATAGAATCTTTAAATTCAAACCTTCCAGTTTATATTATTATTGAAATTCATAAATAAGTTAAAAACATCATTATCATTTTCATCTCAACTATTTGATTAGATTACCATTAAATTGATCCTCTATTTTCAGTGCAAAACCCTTTCTTAAAGTTTCATTATCGCTTTTTTAGGTAATTTGAAAAACAATTATTGGAATATACATAAATACAGTGATACGATTAAAGATTATATATTGAAAGTACATATTATCTTAAATAGGTCTGATGCAAATATATTTACCGGGTTTTAGTGCAAGAGTAATACACCTGTATGTATTTGGACGTATGGTTATGTACTGGTTTAATCGAATTAGCTATTAAATTTTTTTTATCATTATATATGAATATATAAAGCTGTTGTCATATAACTTTAACTTTCAATACTTAAAAACAATATCTGTTCGATCGATTTAATTAATTTTAAAGAAATTTAATTACTTTTCGTATCCTTTACTAAAACTATTTAACCTACTTTCTTATATCTTTCTATGTGATCAGATAAATCTTTTAACCATTTTCAGAAATTCCAAATTTTTGTAATTATATTTCTCAAGGAAATTGGAAAACCGCACAAACTTGTAATTTTCTCCTTTATGGCCGACAGCTGTGCACTTACAAGGAATCAACAATATTAGCAAAGACTTATACATAAATATCTATGCCTGTGCTAGACACTTAAGCTGGCATAATACATGCCAGCCAGCGCATAGATTTCTATTAAGTATTTACCCTATTTGCAAAAGTTTTCCTGCATGTACGTATCCAAGTAATCTCACAAAATTACGTGCGATGTTACAAGTTGCAACCGCAGCCACAATACCAGCATTGCAGAACTGCAGAACTGCAGAACTGCCGTACGACTGACAACCGACCGACCGCCCGACCGACCAACTAGTGTTAGAGTTGCTTTTGGAGTAAGCAGAGCAATAGTAGACACTACTCGCAAGTTATTTGTTGCTCATGCCCTAGTAAAGCGGCTATGTATTTGGGTTCGTTCAACTTCTACTTTTTTGCGTATTCTTCATTATGATGATGGAATGGTTGACTGCTACCAGGTTTTATTTGTTACTGCAAATAGCACATGCATGCTAACTAACTGTTGTCCAAGTCCGACAAATCAGCCAAGTGAGTGAGTAAGACTTATATAAATGAGCTAAGCGTCAGCGTCATTTTCTTAGCTGAGCTGGTTGCTAAATGGCAGTTCATTTCACTACCAACAGGCTACAATGGATTTCCTCTAAACTTAGTCGAGGATCTCTCTGGCTTAGGCTGCTATTTGTATGCCAATCCAACAACGAAGTCATTTCAGTACGCATGTTTAACAAGATTTTTGCTGCTTATGCTTGTTACTTTAAGTTACTTCTTGGAAAGGATTTTACTGATTTGACAGTGTCAGTTTTGTGGCCTGTTTTGCGTGGACTTTTATGAAAATGATTTCTTATTATGGCGGAAGACTAAATAATGCATGGAACACGTTTCAACAAACCTAATAAAATGCAAAAGATTTATATGTGTATTAAATGTTCTTAATGCAAACTTTATATTAGGCACTATTTTATACTAAAGGCATTTTACTGAGTGAAGTTACTTGTACGCATTAAAATAGGTGAAAAGGTTAAGCCCTGTTGTGATAACTTATTTTAAATGAAAATGTAGCCATAATATATGGTAAAGTTATAGGAATTTTTATTTAATAATATCATTTGATATTTTTCAATGACCGCTTCTTTAAAATAATATATAAATTATGTCTTTCATATGCCTTTTATATATATTTAAATATTTATATTTTATATCCATTTCTTTTAAGTCCTAAATGAAATATAAGATACTAAGATACTTTACTTCAAATATATTACGTCGCATCTCCTGCAGATTCTTTTTCGTTGTTATGTAACAGGTTGTATTCTGTCGCTTACTTAGTTTAAACAGATTTACTTAGTTGAAAAAGATTTAATTAGTTGAAAAATGACTACGCAGACACAGTTTTACGTAAAACTATATTCTAAAAGAAAACCAATTATGTTGGTCCAATTCTGAAAATAATCTATATTCTACAAGCACTAATATGGGATTTAAAGTATTTTGAAACCGATACACAATATAATTTAGAAACCAGTTAGACTACAAATTAGTTCCTGCAAGAATGCTATAATATTATTATTATTAAAAGAAGGGATCGTGCAGTACGACCTAAAAGATCTATTCTGCCCCTTAGTCGGATTAGAGTGTTTCTTCAAGTCCGATTTCTTTAATAAAAGACAGTATAAAACCTATCTTTCATAGTCTTAATAAGACACGACAAATCAATTTCGTTATGTTATTATGTATTATATTATATATTGTATTGTATTATCTTATTATATATATGTATAAATATGTACATAAAGTAATTAAGAATATATATATAATAAAATATACACAAAACAAAATACAGAGAAATTCGAAAGTTGAAGTTCTTCCAAAGTTGTAGAAGAATTGTTATCAAAAAGAAACAATACCAGTCTATTTTGAAAACCTTAAAAATGTTATTATTTCGAAGAGATCTTAAAACTAAAGACATGCTGAAGGGTTTGCAAACGAGGGAATATAATATATAATTTGATGCCGCGCTTATGGCTTGCAAAATTCTAATATACCGAAAACTGTCTTGCTAATATTAGTAAATCTTAATCGTAGATTTGGTAAGCCAAAAAAATAGGTATATTGAACTGCCAGCAGAGTTTCAAAAATTGACATCAGAACCTTCTGTGATACTCGTGCGGTGTTATTTGAGCTTAAGTGGGCTTTGGACACAAGGCCGCTACTTCAACCTAAACTAACCTAGCATGAGCAACTAGTTTAGATTAGTATGAGAAATAAAAATGTTAAGCAGAGATATGATATCCGTTG